GGACTGGGGGCCAGTAAACCATGATTCCAGTAGCTCCCGGCTCACTCGGTTGTCACCTCTTGCGAGAATTTCGGCCTCATCGAATTTGCAGCAGTGGAATCAATCCTTTGTCAGACGGAGGCAACGGAGGAGACTAAGAACCTCATCCGACATCAAGTGTCGTCTCTCCTGATGGCCCACAGGCCGCAGGAAGTGCTTTTCAAAGTCGAACGTGATGCGCTTAGAGAACTCAAGGCCGATAAAGACCTGGTCATCGTGCCAGCGGACAAAGGACGCGCCACAGTTGTACTGGACAGGACAGACTACCTTCAAAAAGCCAAAGGTTTACTGGAGGACCGACAGTTCTATGTCCCATGTGCAACGAACCCTTAAAAGGCGCTGACACGCGAAATTAATACTACGTCGTTGGCCTTGGAGAACTCAGGTGCAATAACACCGACCGACAGACGCATGGCGAGACCCCAAGATACGGCTTTGGCCCGATTCTATGGCCTTCCTAAGGTGCACAAAGACGGCGCTACTCTCCGACCCATCGTGTCGCTCAAAGGGACTCCAACGTATGGACCGGCTAAGTGGCGGTTCCGGCATCTCAAGTTCCTGACCGCTGAGTCAGACACCACGGTTTCTTCGTCAGCACAATTCCTGGAGAAACCCAAAGGGGTAAGCATCCATCCAAATGAGGTCATGGTATCTTTTGATATTTCATCCCTTTTTACTTCTATTCCCCAGGACCTGGCGATCGAGACAATTGAGCTGCTACTACAAAGCAAATACGATGAAACGCAGAACCGTCTTGGACACGCCCAAATCCTTCAGCTCCTGAAGCTCTGTCTCAGGACGTACTTCATGTTCGACGGGACAATCTACGAACAGGTGAAGGGCACACCAATGGGTTCACCGATTTCGGGATTCATCGCCGAGGCGGTCCTGCAACGGTTAGAATCGCTGGTCTTCCAACACCATAGACCGAAATTCCGGGCCCGGTATGTGGATGACACCTTCGTCGTCATCGAACGGGATCAGGTGTTGACATTCCAAGAACATCTCAACGCCGTCTTCCCGGACATTCAATTTACGATAGAGGAGGAAGAGAACAACCAGCTGGCCTTCCTGGATGTCCTCGTATGCTTCAAAGATTGTGGTGAACTAAAAACCAAAGTATTCAGGAAAGCGACAAATACGATGCAAGTACTGAACTTCAACAGTAACCACCCAATCAGCCACAAACGCAGTTGTGTAAGGACGCACTATCGGCGTGTCGAAACGCACTGCAGTGAGCCGAAAGACAAAATTGCTGAACTACAATACCTCCGACGGGTCTTCAAAACCAATGGCTACCCGCGCAACTTCGTCGGCCGGTGCATACGCAAAAGGGACGGAAGGCCTAACCGCACGGACACCAAATCTCGACGGGCACTTCCGTATGTGAAGAACGTTTCGGAAGCTGTCAGCCGCCTTCTCGCACCACTTGGGGTTGGAGTGGCACACAGATCGGAGGCAACCATCAGGCGTCTGGTCATGAAACCGAAAGACCCACTGCCACGGCTAGAAACGTCTGGAGTCGTTTATCGGATCTGGTGCAGTTGTGGACAAAGCAACTACGTCGGAGAAACCGGAAGACAGCTCCGAACGAGAATGGCCGAACACGCGGCAGCGGTGCGCAGAAATGACGCCAGCTCTCAAGTTGCGGCTCATTCGACGAGATCCGGCGACACATTCAAATTCGATGAGGCCGAAATTCTCGCAAGAGGTGACAACCGAGTGAGCCGGGAGCTACTGGAATCATGGTTTACTGGCCCCCAGTCCATCAACAGGTGCAACGATCTTCCCACTCAATACTGCATGCTAAAACTTTACCTAGGTGGAGTAACAAGCCATGCGGGGAGCGCAGAGGTGAACACTTTTCCCAACACCGGGGTCGGTGCGTCAGATGGTCGAGCAATCATCACGCCAACATCCAACGCACGTGATGAAATTGCAGCAATTATCGACTCGAATGTCGGCCATCGAGCAGTGATCACACCAAGTGCGACGATCCCGGATGAAGGGGGGAGCCATGAATGTTCATAGGTATGCGGTAGCATGGCTACGGCATCCTATAAATACCGCAGCCCCTTGTGCAACAACCACCCGTTTCTGCTTTTTTGTCTCTAATGATGGATTCGAGTAGGAATCCGAAACGTCAGGCTAATAAAGCTCTTGTCCTCTTCTTCAAGTCTTCCCCATGTCGACACATTGATTGTGAAATTGAAAAGTCAAATTGGCGAACACGTGTTTTCAGTAACTCTTCATCAGGCCAAAACGGTTACAATGAAGTTTAAGTTATGCGAGTTACATGACTTATAAATGATTCGGGACAATTAACATCGATCGTTCCCACGCCACTCGCATGACGAGGCGTGCTATGGCGTGGTCGGCGTGTCGTGGTAATTGGGTTCGGGGGGCGAGGAGGAGGGGGGGCATA